GCAGAACCCTATCTTGGAGATCTTGATCTTGGACTTCAGCTTCCAGAACTGTGAAAGGTACATGTTTGTTGCTTAAACCACCTAGTCTGTGCTATTTTTGTTACAGAAACCTAATCAGACTAAAGTAAGGACCTCTAACAGATTTGAGAACCTGCAGAGCTTTTATTTCTCTGGATTAGATTAGAATTTTTTTCCTCTGGATTACAATATTTATGGATTAGAATTAATAATAAAATATAAAATAAGACATAATTACTAAATTAGAAATTGAAGCTGAGAAACCAAATATATATAAATGTAGCCATAAATTGACTTTAAAATGGACAATTACATATTTCATATTGACTATGTTAAATTTACATAGTCAATTTATGACTATGTTAATATATATTAGACTGTATATACTTAGTTTCTCAGCTTTAATTTCTAGCTAATATACATATATTAAATAACAATGATAAATTCATTACATATTACCATAAAATATTTTTATGAAAAATAACTGTATTTTGGGAGGGGAAAAAAGTGAGAAGAGTCACTTTGTTCCCCACATGTTTGCAAATCCCTGATGTCTGATTTAAGCAAAGACAACTGGACCCACCTCTGTTTTTCTGTTGCCATCTCACACACCCTGTAGTGTCTGGGAAAACCTATTGTACATTCCAGAAAGAGCCAGAGTAAAAACGCAAACAATTTACTACCAACCATATTTTGTATAACTAGACCCAGACCACACTTTGAGAATGACAGAGCCATACAAATGAAAGAGTATTTTTAAGCCTTGTCCATATAAACACACACACATATATTATGTGCAAATAACATTCTAATGTTTATACGATTCCCACAGCATGGCTAAGCAATGTGAGGGAAGCATCTACAATCCAAAACGGTGGTTTTGCAACTTTTTGCAACCTTGGATGACAAGAGTCTACTTGCTTCTGTCTGAGTCTTGAGGCAAGAACAATTTCACCCTATGTGAGATAAGATCCTAAATCCTGAAACAGCTGGAGGCAGAGACATGTGCGTGTGGAGAGGAGAAGCTGGGTGAGAGACGCGTGGGCAAGCAACAACCGGAGAGCCTACTCCGGGCCTTGGTGCAGAAGATGGCAGCCGTTATCTTGACCTCTGCATTCCATGCATTTCA